TCAATGATCATATTCCTGTTACTCCTGCTTTACCGGTGAAAATCAATGATCATATTCCTGTTCTCCTGCTTTACCGGTGAAAATCAATGATCATATTGTTATTATATTCATTTTGTTGAAAGTTTATAAAAAATTTTTCAATTCAATCAACAGAAATGCTCTCATTGCATTTATATTTATTATCATCAACATAATGAAGTACGATGAGTCAGTGAAGTGAAAAAAATAAAAAAAAAAAATTAACAAAAATATGCAAAAAGTGCTTTCTAATGACGTAGACATTTGTATTTATTCTTTAATACAAAAACAAAAAAGACAAAAATGAAATTTAAAAAAAAAAGTGAAAAATTAATTTAAAAGAAAGATTGAAAATTAATTTGAAAAAAAAAGTAGGAAAAGAAAAGAGAAAAAGATAGAAAAAAAAGAGGGAAAATGGGAAAAAAGAAAAAAGGAATAAGAAGGAAAATATTATTAATGGAAAAAAAAGAAAAGAAGGATAAATTGGATAAGATTAAAAGTGATAATAAATGTAATTTGGAAAAATGAGATTATAAAGAAAAAGATATGGAAAAAAGAGTGAATAATGTAAAAATGAACAGAAAGAAACGAAGATAGGAAGATGATTAAATTTAAGATTATTATCATTATCGTTATCATTTAGATTAAATCATTTGTCCATTCCATAGCTGTACAATTATGATAAACATTTAATCTTTATAAGTTATCAATTTATGATAAATAGTAATATTCAAATTCCTAATTTAATTCTATTTAAATTCTTAAATTAATCTTATAGCATAGTAAAAATTTGAAATGAAAAATTTTAGCATTTTAAAATAAGAAATTAATAAAATTGAAATTGCACATTCGATCTTATTTGAATAAATTATTTTTTCATTTTTTTTTTTTTTGAAATATAAATCAGAAGAGAATTCATCTCTGCCTTGTTTACAACAAATCATACACATTTTCAGCTTCATTTCATTACTAATTTCGATGACTCATACATAATTAGCAAATTGCTTAAAGTTAATAATTAAATTCTATTTATTTCAGAATTATTTCCAAGATAAGAGCAGGAAAAGGAAAATTTCATATTGATAAAATGAGAAATAAAATTTGAAGAAAAAGAAACATACCACGTAAACGAGAACATTACGAAAACGTTTTGATGACGTAAATTTTCCTGTAATGTTCGAAGAAGTAATTTTGTGATGAATCATCGGAATATTTTTCATCATTATAACATTTCCGTTTTACACCGGGAAATACGGTGGAATAATTATTGGACAATGATTTGTCACCAATAATTTGATCACTTTCCGAATACAATACCAAATCAACCATTGATGTGTTACACTTTTCTTCACCAATTTGTGATAGCATCATTGTATTACAAAGCTATAATTTATCATGAAAAAAAAAATCGTTAATTTCATTAATATAATTAATTAAACGTGATTGTTGACGGTTTTAATATTTTAATGCTTAACAAATAATACATATCAATATTATCAATTTTAATGTTATATTATTATTATTATTATTATTATTATTATTATTATTATTATTATTATTATTATTATTATTATTATTATTATTATTATTATTATTATTATTATTTTGTTTGTTTGTTTATTTATNTATTATTATTATTATTATTATTATTATTATTATTATTATTATTATTATTATTATTATTATTATTATTATTATT